TTGTTAAGAGAGAGAGAGAGAGAGAGAGAGAGAGAGAGAGAAACAGTGTGCTGGAGAAACAGTAAGAATGAAAGAGATAGTTTGAATCAGTCTTTGAGAAAAGAAGAGGCATCATTACCGCTTAGTTAGCAGAATGAAGTATTAGTATGCTCTCGAGAATTAAAGAGGAAAAAAATGGTATTTCGTGCTGGATTTTTAATCTTTTGTTTCGTTTGTTTGTTTGCTTGTTTGTTTTTTGCTTTGTTTCTTTTGTCTCTTTAATTAAGAAAAAGCAAGAAAGCGCTTTGTGAAATCTTGAATCAGAATGAAAGCGAAAGAAAGTCTTTCATTGGAGTTTGAGTAGAATCATTGTAATTGAGAGTATCAGCTACCTGCTAATGAAAGGGATTGTAAATAAGTGCTTGGTGACACTATGTGGTGAAGTATAGCCTACAAGAAAACTGTGTTTCGTTAATCAATTTAATGTTGCGAGGTTTTTCTTCTATTCTTGAGTGTGAGAAAGTGTGTCAAACAGCTTCAGCTATAGGCTACTATGGTGTCCGATCTATCTAATCTAAATAATGCAGTCGAACCTGCTCCGAATTTTGAGGACACTTTTTTTATTTGCTCAAAGAGAGGAGTGGCCCCTCTTGCTATGTAGACTCTTTGACATAACCTCATGATAATTTATCTAGGCCCTTAGATAACATTTGATCCCGGTGCACTGTGGTGCGCTCTGGTGCTGACTCGCAACACCCTCCTTAGGAAAGGCAGACTTGAAAAATGATATCCTAGAACATGGCATTGTCATGGTCGTCATACCTTGTTCTTTACAAACAATGTCACTATGAGTGCGCTCCATGAATGAGCAAATGATGAACGGCATAACATCAACACACTTATAAGCCTAGTCGAGTGCGCATGCATCCCCCCCTCCCCCGCGCCTCCAAATTGCCATTCATTTAATTTCTCGTATAGCGTGGGTGAAATGATGCACTCCATGGTAAACCGGATTTGCGTCAGAGTGTTTAATCTTTGATACTACAGTACAAGTCTTTGACAGGAAGTCACTTTTTTAACAGCGTAAGGGTAAGCTTAGTCCTGACAACCATCTTTTCTTTCCCCGCATACCTTCTCCAGTAATTACACGCTTGAACTTCTTTGCAGGTGAGCCTTCAGGTTTGATTGAATATAAAACGTATCGTTTGCTTTCCTATAAAATTATGAGTCGAAGTTTTCTTTTTTGGAATCTTCTGCGTCGACGGACTGATCAAAAGAGGGTAAACTCGCAGTGCTGACCAGATCCATATTATAGCAACTTCAATTTAATAATAATAATAAATAGCATTTGTATAGCGCATATCCCCGCTCAACAGCAGGCTCTATGCGCTTTACACTATATTATTACCCCAGCAGACCATAGAACACTCCGAAACATTCTCAGCCTCCCGGGAAGCATACAGTGCAAGCAGCTGATTAAGCGCTCAAACACTAACAAACTGACAAGATCTTTCGCTGTCTATAGCCAGGTACCCATTCCCACCTGGGTGAAGTGAGGAAAATTCGTGTTAAGTGCCTTTCCCAAGGACACAATGTCGGGCCCCTGACGGGATTCGAACCCACGACCTTACGGTTGCGAGTCCGAGAGCCTAACCACTAGGCCACCGACGCCACTTCAAAGCAAGAGAGCCATACATCTAGATCTAGATCTATATCGGTGATTTTTGTGTGGATTTATTTATTTATTTGTGTGTGTGTGTGTGTGTGTGTGTGTGTGTGTGTGTGTGTGTGTGTGTGTGTGTGTGTGTGTGTGTGTGTGTGTGAGTGTGTGTGTGTGTGTGTGATATGAATGAATCTGACAATTAAAATTACCGAAAGAAACGTACTTGTGAGAAAAATATGGCGGCAATAATCTTTCATTATTTATATTTATAATAATAATAATTATTATTATTGTTGTGCTTGTGATCACCCTGATCAACCATGTATTGTCGTATAGCAAAGGGGGGGGGGGGGAAAACATTGTTATAAGATTGACAGTCCTGCATTAGAGATACGAAATGAAGCGTAAGTGAAGACACTTGGAAACGGATTTCACAAAGCTCAAATAATATGTTATGTAGGTGGCTGGCTGGCACCATGGTGTGGTTTCGGATGGAGAAAAAATTTATTTGTTCTGTAATGAAGCGTGAATGGTGGCGCTGGTGGCCTAGTGGTTAGGCTACTGGACTCGGAATCATGAGATTGGAGATTCGGGGGGGTTCGAGCGTTAGCTCGGTCCGACATTGTGTCCTTGGGAAAGGCACTGTACACGCGAATGTCCATTTTGGCTCGGTCCTTCCGGAGATGAACGTTAAACTCGGAGGTCCCGCCTCTTAAATTATCTAATAGTGTTCATAGGGGCGTTAAACCTATACCATTTTACCATTTTAAAAAAGAAGAAAGAGAAGCGTAAATGTATTATAATTATTATTCAGTCTCAACCTTCAACTTTACTGAGATAGACAATCATTGGAGGTCACGCCTCTTAAATAACAAAATAGTGTTGACAGGAGTGCTTAGCCTACACCATTTCAAACTTCAGAGCTAGACAGCGACACCTTTCCACACCGATAGACGGACTGAGACAAGGGGAGACAATGAACGCTATGTCCGTGAAACGCAAAGGGGGTTCGTTGTCTTTCCCAAAGAGTGCTTCGACACGCCAAGATACCAACACACTGAAGAGCAAGCAGCTGGCACTGAAACGCAGATTCTCGAAGTTGAGAAAGCGGTTCCCTGGTACGAGCATTCGTTTGTTTGTTTATTTGTTTGTTTGTTTGCTTGTTGCTTGCTTGTTTGAGAAAAGACAGGCATTTTTGGGGTGGGTGGGTGGTCCGCTCATTCTTTCCTAGCAAACATAACAATACAAGGTGATTAAAAAAAACCCACAAAACTGTACAGCTTTTTTCTAAACATCTTGCACAAAATTTGTACTAGAATGTTATAATTTGGAACAGATATCATTCATTCAAAAGGAATTTGTTTGACATATAATTCACTAAGCAGAAACTTTTCTTCGAAAGCCGAAATGGCTTTTTTAAATAATAAAAAACACACCTACAAATGCAAAATGCACCTATTTGAAAGATCTTGTAAGGAAAGCCTCGAAATGATGTATTTGATTTTTTTCCCCTTCCTTTTATTTAAAAAATCAAATCTTTCCATCCCTGTAACTTTTAAACAATATTTCTTGTCATACAGAGTAAAAAAAAATAATAAATTCTGAAATTCTGAGAACCGGTGGTCTATATGTCCTCATTTGGACTAGACACATTATAACGCGTTGTTTGTAATGTTAAGTGGTGGCCAGATATCGTCTACTGACAGTCATGTCCCGGGGCTCATCTACTGAATTCTGCACCCTGATGATGTTTAAAGGGGTGCAAACAGGTATGTGTTTGACCTGAAGTGGTCGTTTTGTCTGAGAATTTTTTTGTTCTGATTCTCTACAGGTCCTAATTCATGGACTATTTCCACCCTTAACATCAAAGAAGGCCTTAGGGGCATTTTAACATTATTTCCGTACCCTGTGCGAAACTTACGAAGTGAGTTGATGTTGAGAAGATGTTCAATACTAAAAGCTCTGTGCTCTTTACTAATCTTAATCATGATCTCAGTAGCCAAAGGAAACTTGAGAAAAACTGTCTTCAAACTTCTGTTGGCCTGTTAGACTACTGTAGTTTGCAATATTGCGCAATTGTTTGCATTTTAGTGGTAGGCCTAATGCGAACTAGTGCGTCACGCTACGAAAATGGGGACATAGCTGAAAATGGGCTATTTTTTACGCGCTATGTAGAGCAAAACTATTCTGTGGATTTATATAAAATGAATATCAGAGAAATTCCTTTTGACTTTCCTATGTTGAGTACAAATTTGAAACGCAAAGCTTCAGTGTGGAGAAAAATATTAACACAAAAAGGTGTACAGTTTTGTTTTGGGGGGATCACCCCGTATTTGTCCTCATCTACCCTCCCTCTTTTTGTGTTTGTCACTCTCTTGTCAATCATCTTATCTACGGCTCTTACATTATGACCTTTTGAGGTGTAAGTTCCGTAAACTCTCACTACAGGCATAGAGGCACGATCACTGTCATAGAGTCAAAGGAAGATACGACGGTATGTCAGAGAGTAATAGAAGCTGTCGTCTAACGACTAAGATATTGACTTCAGTCATAAAAGCAATACATAATTAGAGTGTGGTCAAATATTCGTAGTGCAACTTACCCCCAAATATATCTTTAACGAGTGAATAACTGTAATCCATACTTTGCACCGCAGTTTGTATCAATTTGTCTTAACTGAATCATATTTTTTCCTAACAATTGAGGCTAGATTTTTTTTTTTAAAACCTTTTTTCAAGAATTGATATATTATTATTATACTTTAAATCTCCGTCACACGGAAAATGGGATTGTTCACAGCACTTCCCGCTTCTCACTCACATTTTGCATAGAGGCATGACACTTTTTAGAGGCAAAACTCCTTACGAAGTAATTTCAAAGTGAACACATTTTTGCATTAAAGGTTCTTAAAACATGCGCCAAGAAACCAAATGCCGCGATTAGAAAAGCAAATGACGGACTTTCTTTTGAAAGCGAAGTTGCCCGAACTGTTGACTTTGTAAAATCTGCTTAAACAATCTACCTCGGTTTCTTATTGCTACATATTAAGGACTTTTCTAGAAAAAAATATACAGGTTTTTGAAAAAAATGTGCACCTGTTGACAAATGAATACAAGTCATTATGGAACCGTTGGAGAATCTATGTTCGATAGTTAAGGAGATATAAGTTGACAGTTTATTGCACAACGAATTTTTGACAGCGCTATAATCTATAAAATATTATCTCTGCTCTCGATCCAACCATGACAGTTTCACACTTAATTATTTTATATATGACGTCACAAACAAAGAATGGTTTCCGCTCGGGATGAAGCTCACAAAAGAAAACGCCCATTTTACAACTCTGTGCTCTGCTGTA